CCAACTTATAGAATAGCTAATCAATTTCTTACTATTCTACAAATGTCTGTGTCCATGTTATCTAGAGTGTCATCACATTCTACAAATGTCTGCGTCCATGTTATCTAGTGTCATCACATTCTATAAATGTCTGCGTCCATGTTATCTAGTGTCATCACATTCTATAAATGTCTGTGTACATGTTATCTAGAGTGTCATCACATTCTACAAATGTCTGTGTAAATGTTATCTAGAGTGTCATCACATTCTATAAATGTCTGTGTACATGTTATCTAGAGTGTCATCGCATTCTACAAATGTCTGTGTAAATGTTATCTAGAGTGTCATCACATTCTACAAATGTCTGTGTACATGTTATCTAGAATGTCATCACATTCTACAAATGTCTGTGTACGTGTTCTTTAGAGTGTCATCACATTCTACAAATGTCTGTGTACATGTTCTTTAGAGTGTCATCACATTCTACAAATGTCTGTGTACATGTTCTTTAGAGTGTCATCACATTCTACAAATGTCTGTGTACATGTTCTTTAGAGTGTCATCACAGTGAAAGGCGTAGAAGGAGAAAAAGAAAACTAAAATGAACTCGCAGCGGACAAAGACTTTGTTTGCATCGCTTGTAGCAAAATACGCAGGTCGCAAAAGGGTTTACATATTCACTTACATTTAGTCTTCGTAGTCGTAGATATTTCCTTTAAAGATGTGTTCACTTCGTGTAAATTAGATAAAATATGACAGTACAAGACAGACATAATAGATCAAACTGGACAAAGAAAAACGCTGGACAGACAAAATATATTATATTATATATATATAAGTGTAGCTTATATTAAGTGTAGTCGTATCTACTAGTTTGGATCAGTCGTGTAATTAAATTTGTCATAGGTGTAGAGTCTAGTCAAACAAAAAAATCTGTGCAATTAGAAATATTTTTATCTATTGTTGTTTGTTTAGCGTAATTTGATGGTAGATTTCTCAATACGCTATGATCCTTTCATTTGTCTAGACCAGATGGAAAAGGGGGGGGGGGGGGGGTATGGAGGTCGTAGCTTTTTATTAAATGTATTTACAAAAAATAATTTTAAAAAAGCAAGCATCCTGAATTCGAACTCTAGGGCTAAGGTTTCCTTTGTGTCAGGGTCAGGGAGCTGATTATGAAATTAGGTTTTATATTTATTTACATTTTTTTTTTCTACAAACAATAAAGAGAACTAAATCAGCTTATCCCACTTTATCAGTCAAGGAACATTTCTTTTTCTTGATCGAGATACAGAACAAAAAATTAATTAATAGTAATAATAAGGCTAGTCTTCGAGTCCGAAGATTAGTGAGAAATGCAGTATTTCCCGTGGCTGCACAGTCCCAGCTGAGACCTACATATATTTGCCACATCTAGGGAAAGCATAACCATTGTCCGCAGGCGGTCGATTTAGATTTTCGTTTCGCCGTCTGCGTTTGTCCTCGGCAGCAGATTTTCATTTGGTCTCAAATGTGTATCCCGCGGCCTTCGTGAGTGACCTCCAGCTGTCTCGTTCTGGGGCCGCATGTCACAAGGTGCTCTCTTCTATGTCAGCCAAGGAAAGTTGACGCCTAAGCTTGTCTCTGTTACATCGACCACCTTTTAGCTCACCAAAAAAAGACTGCCTTTGGCATACTTTCGTCTCCCAATAGCAAATTAATTAATTGTTTGTTGTTGTTGTTTTTTGTAATATTCTTTTTTGATGGCATGTAAAAGAAATGATAGTACTGTAATAACTGAAGGGAGGCAACTCAATGAGACATAGACGTTTATTTACACGGAGACATAACAAACATAAAGGGGCATCTGCCTTGCGCACAGCATCTCCATCTTGGCTCTCTCCTTCGGCGGAAAATCGTTTATCTCCTAAAGTCAACATCCTTTTCTAGTCTGGTTACTAGAGGTGCGCATCTCTGCACTAGCCTGGATGGCGGTGCGCATGGAAGAGTCATAACAGTACACAATTTCAGCTTGACCCGAGATACGTTGTGGGAGAAATTAGGTGTACAGACTTTTTACCAGACAGACAAAGCTTTAAAATAAGCTTTGTAAAAAGCGGGACAGAAAAGAATGGGCATACAAAGACAATACGGAGGACAGATTAGAAAAAAAATGAGATTCTGAAAGTTGATTTTGACCTTTTGACCTTAAAGTTCGCCTGTGCATTGTTACTAGAGCGCCTTCATTTAGCTATTGAAGACAATTAAGGGAATGAATATTGTACTTGCAAAACATATAATTTTGTCCTAATCTATTTTCGTCATTAATCTTTCACAAATCTCCGATATTCACCAGTTTATTTTCTACAAGATACATTTTATGAGATTCTTGGCAGGAGATATTCACAAAAGTGCAAGACATCCAAGTTTTTCTTCTATAATTTTTTTTTATCCAAAGAGAAAGGAAGATAAAAAAATGTTCCAGAAAATGGTTCCGATTATAAATAAACGTTAGGTGCTATAGGATTGTGTCTGCGTATAATGGATATCGATAATGTATTCTATTTATGAGTAAAACTAGGAATTAATTATGAAATAGTAAAGTAAGCAGAGTAAAGTAACCCCTTTCAAACCTTCCGGGCAGGTGATGAAATACAGATCGATAAACCGAGAAATAGAGAGAGAGAGCGCGTTTGTAAAAGGGATGAAAATTGAGAAAGTTCGTGAATAAGGTTATTTTCTAAACTTCTAATTTCGCCAATTAAAAGAAAAAATTTAAACTTTTTCAGTGTAAATTTAATTTTGTATTTTTAGAAAACGTTTTATTTTAATTTTATCTTTATTATCTACTCATTTATTTTGATAACACCAGGCATCTCAATATTCGATGAACAATTAATGTCTGACATAGTATTAATCCTATATAAAAGAAATGTTATACATTTGTTTGATAATACAAAGAGATACATCTGGTGAACACATTATTGACTTGTTGATACATCTGGTGAACACATTATTGACTTGTTGATACATTTGGTGAACACATTATTGACATCGTGTTTTGTTTTCTGTAAACAATTTTCCGATTCTGTTTTCGTCACATTCAGGGGATGAATGTAAACATGAAATTACAAAACTGAAACTTAAAGCCTTTTGTAATATTTCTTTTTATATTCATCCGTAATATTTCTTAACACGTAGATAGAGAACGTAGGCAGAGAACGCAGCACGCAGATTCACATATAAACAACCCCCAGAAACAAACATACACGCATTTTAATATCATTTTAATATCATTTTAATATCATTGTAATACAACAACAAAACTAAAATATAAAATAAAAGCAGAGAACGAGAAAAAATAAATTCTCATAAACAAAATACAGGCAAAGAGACAGGCAAAGAGACAGGCAAAGAGACAGGCAAAGAGACAAGGCAGAGAGACATTCAAAGAGACAGGCACAGAGACAGGCAGACAAAAGTAAGACAATTAGGCAAGGAGAGCATTGCAAAAGAATCGCAAAGAGAGAGAAAGAGAGCGAGAGAAATCAAGAGAGAGAGAGAGAGAGAGAGGGGAGAGAGAAAGATAAACACAATCCCATACAAATATACAGAAGCAGATAAGCACTGAAACATAGCCACACGTGCCATCAGGAGGAAACAGATTTTTTTAATTATTGTAAAAATGTGAGCTTTATTTTTTGTAACCGATGTACAATACATTTAACATTTGACAGTGTTGTACAGTTATATACAAGACAATACCTTTAACATTTGACAGTGTTGTACAGTTATATACAAGACAATACCTTTAACATTTGACAGTGTTGTACAGTTATATACAAGACAATACCTTTAACATTTGACAGTGTTGTACAGTTATATACAAGACAATACCTTTAACATTTGACAGTGTTGTACAGTTATATACAAGACAATACCTTTAACATTTGACAGTGTTGTACAGTTATATACAAGACAATACCTTTAACATTTGACAGTGTTGTACAGTTATATACAAGACAATACCTTTAACATTTGACAGTGTTGTACAGTTATATACAAGACAATACCTTTAACATTTGACAGTGTTGTACAGTTATATACAAGACAATACCTTTAACATTTGACAGTGTTGTACAGTTATATACAAGACAATACCTTTAACATTTGACAGTGTTGTACAGTTATATACAAGACAATACCTTTAACATTTGACAGTGTTGTACAGTTATATACAAGACAATACCTTTAACATTTGACAGTGTTGTACAGTTATATACAAGACAATACCTTTAACATTTGACAGTGTTGTACAGTTATATACAAGACAATACCTTTAACATTTGACAGTGTTGTACAGTTATATACAAGACAATACCTTTAACATTTGACAGTGTTGTACAGTTATATACAAGACAATACCTTTAACATTTGACATCGTTGTACAGTTATATACAAGACAATACCTTTAACATTTGACAGTGTTGTACAGTTATATACAAGACAATACCTTTAAAATTTGACAGTGTTGTACAGTTATATACAAGACAATACCTTTAACATTTGACAGTGTTGTACAGTTATATACAAGACAATACCTTTAACATTTGACAGTGTTGTACAGTTATATACAAGACAATACCTTTAACATTTGACAGTGTTGTACAGTTATATACAAGACAATACCTTTAACATTTGACATCGTTGTACAGTTATATACAAGACAATACCTTTAACATTTGACATCGTTGTACAGTTATATACAAGACAATACCTTTAACATTTGACATCGTTGTACAGTTATATACAAGACAATACCTTTAACATTTGACATCGTTGTACAGTTATATACAAGACAATACCTTTAACATTTGACAGTGTTGTACAGTTATATACAAGACAATACCTTTAACATTTGACATCGTTGTACAGTTATATACAAGACAATACCTTTAACATTTGACATCGTTGTACAGTTATATACAAGACAATACCTTTACCATTTGACATCGTTGTACAGTTATATACAAGACAATACCTTTAACATTTGACATCGATGTACAGTTATATACAAGACAATACCTTTAACATTTGACATCGTTGTACAGTTATACACCCAAAGCATTGTCCACCAATGTACCTTATTATTCAACAACAATTATGGCCGTGAATCACAAGAGAAACATAGATTGCTCTGATGATGACATTTATTATTATGTCATCATAAATTCAGGCAATGGTTCTGGGTATTTTATTTGGCTGTGGTTCTGGGTATTTTATTTGGCTATGGTTCTGGGTATTTTGTTTGGCTGTGGTTCTGGGTATTTTATTTGGCTGTGGTTCTGGGTAATTATTTGAACATTAACGTTTTCAGAATTTTTAGACCCATTGCTGTTAGCGTTGCGAATTAACAAAAAATGGACTGATACCAAAAAAATAATTCTACATTCGTAAATGTACATCTTTAAAATCATAATATAAATTATCAATAAACAAGAAGCTTAATGCAAGCTTTACAAAAAAAAAACTAATTCCTTCCTTATAAAGCTGCTGATGGTATAGTATTCCTCAATGTATTTGTTGAAATGTTTCAATATTGCAAGGAATCTTTTCAAGTGAATTTATAGTCATTTTCTTTTACTGTAATAGACTTCTACAAAAGGAGTCTTTTCTATACACTTGTCTATAAACTTGATGTAAACTTGTCATCAGTATATCCACTTTTACAATTTTAATATATTTTATTCTCGACGTTTTGTGCTCAGCAATAAAATGTTGATTGTAGTTCCTTGAAAAAACTACATGTAATACATAAAGAACATTTCTTAGCATTTTTTCAGCTCCAGTCATCTCTGGCATACCAAGTTGAAGTTTGTTGGCGCCCCTTATTTGCTTGCCTATATATAAATATCGGTAAAGAATGAGCATTTATATAAAGTATCACAAATTAAGTCAAACAAAAGAACAAAACAAAAAACAAATTTCATAAATTATAAAACAGTACAAAAACCCAATACCAATAAAATTTAACCAAGAGTCGGATTTAATTATACATATAACTTTGACATCTCATTGTACAAGGTTCAAATAGCTTTGACATAACTACCATTATGAATTGATGTTAATTATTTTTATAACTGTACTTTCTAAAGTCTAAGTACGTAATAAAACATCCTTGACCTCAGAAACTGTGACAATAAGTGGCTTGTAATACAGCAACAAAAAATTATAGAACTTCCGAAGGTGAAGTGTTGTAATTCATTACAGGACATGAAAGCAGATTGTAATGTCCCCTCGCCCCTTTTCTAGAACAAAAAAAGTACATTCTCCCGCCCCCCTGTTGTCTTTTTTGTTTTTTGCCATCATCTTAGCAACGTTTGATCATAAGGGATCCTCCTTGTCCTACATGCCCTATATGACCTACGTGTCCTACAAGTACTACACATCATTTCTTACCTGACATATGGTAACATATAAGTTATCAGTTCATCAAATAATTGATATTTAGTTCCGGTCACAAACAGATAATCCCATCTTAAAAGAGATGTACAATAGGCTGAATATTTTCATCAAGGACTATGTTGATAAATGAAAACACACACACAAATACAAGAAAAACATTTTAACAAACAAAGCTTATAATAAGTGTAATTGTATACATCAATTGCATCAGTCGTATAATTATATATACAATAATTAATTAATTGCGCAAAATTTCAACTTAATCCGAGATTGAGTGTGGGAGAATAACATGTACAAACATTTTACCATTCACACATACAGACAGACAGAGTGAGTTGATATAAGCTGTGTAATGACATTGGTGTAGGCCCCCAATTCATGTTCTACTTCTATACTTAGACAAACAATCAAACGAACGGGTAAGATAATTCCTGTCGATTTCAATTTTATTTATATACATAGATTGGGTCTGATTGTCCACAATATGTGGGATATAGTGTATATTACAATGACATTGCTTTAAACAGTTACTTCAAGTAACATCCTGTACAACCATGCACAAGATTTCCACTCTTTGTCTCAATATAAACATAAACAACAAAATGTGCACATTTCAGAGGCAAGTTTGAGCTACGCTAGAAGCCGTTGTGGTTATTGGTTGTCAAGTTTATTCAATCTACAATCAGTACAATATAACTCAGGTCCCGTTTGCAAAAACAACTGCATTTCAAAGTTTGTGTGTGGCAAAAGTAAGTAGATTTTAAGATAATGAAATCAAATAATGAAGACAGTAAATAAAATAGTCCATGATGTCTTAATATAGCCCCGAACAAATTAGGTTTCATACACTCACAGTGAAGCATTTGTAGTTTTTATTTTGTGTTCACTACTTTAGTCGCCAGAGTTATTTCTCTGAGCTCCATACTCTAACCACAGGAACCGGTCATCATGAAGTAGTTGGGCTAAGTCCAGGTTGTGGGGGTGGTAGAATGAGTGGAGTAGCTCTCTAGTCTTGTCCAGCATCCCTCCGAGTTTCCTGTCGGACGTCCTTCGAGTGTTGTGTTTGGGCTGCGCCAGAACTCTGTCGTCTTCGACGTCCGACAGCTGCCCTGTGGTTAAAACAACAGGAGATGAAAAAAAGGTACAAAGTACACACACGCACACATAAAGACACTCGCACACACAAACACAAACATATTCACACACACAAACACTCACACACACACACAAACACACTAACAAACACAGGCATACATAACAGTATGACTAAGTTAATCTTAAGGTTTTTGGGTAAGATATATAAGTATACTTTGGCACTGTGTTCTATGTTGATCATTAGCCACATTCACTTTCTGTTAAGTCATTAAAGCTGAGAGGACAAAGATACACATGATACACATGGTTACCAAAAGACTAAGAAGTTCTGGAAACCAGCAGGGTTTAATCACACAGGAGACTGTTTGGCTGAGCAGATTTTATAATATTTAAGGGCGGAATTAATTATACAAAAAGTTTAGGTTATTTTTGTTTGTTTTTTTGTTGTTGTTTTTTCTTTTTGTAACATGAAAAAGATACAGAGAAAACTAAAGACATACACATTTACAGAGATTTAAATTTATAAAGATTTAAATTTACAATAATTTACATTGAGAGAGATTTCCATTTTTTTTTTTTATTTCACATGCTGACTTTTTGCAGTACAGTGGTAATACATACAATTAACAGTGAAACCTAATATCCTAACCTTAACCCTAACCGTTTGCTAATGTCTATATATTACAATTGATTGTACAGTGTAATAGGTTCGCTTAATGCTGTAAGTGATACGAGGAAAACGCAAACAGGGACCTTGTGCCGCAACTGTATTGAGGACCTCAGAGCAATTGATACAAGATGGGAAGAGGCAGCGGACATGGCTGGAGACCCTAGGGAGACAGCTTGCAGCCCAAAGCGCCGAACTTGTGAGAGTGTATCCCTTCAATAACCTTGCGTTTGAGTTGATTAATTAACAGGTAAACTATGACAAGGTATGGTAGCTCCCATAACTAGCGTAGCAATAGTATTAAGATTGCCAAACTATTTGTAACGAACATAACTGTAGTAGTAGGAATTAGGATTGCCAAACTATTTAATCTCAGCCAGATTGAGTCTTTTTACTGTTATTAGTGTTTGGTCTTATTTCTATACTGTAGCCTGCTCCATCTTTCCCTTACCCCTATCTTATCCTTCCTTTAAACATGTTGAATTGACTGACTGTCTTGTCTGGAGCGATGCTACGATAGATATGAATCGTGATCTTAGAAAGTAGTCAAGAAAATGAAATACCCCTAACGTTTGGCAATTGTTTAAACATTACAGTTCTCGAAGATCTTTTTTTTTTAAGTATATGTAAATATTTTGTGTATATTTAGATTACATCTCAAGAAGGTTATAAAGCAAATGTCTAGGTTTATTTACAAGCTACATGCAGTTACCTCCCCTACCTGAGCCAAGTGAAGAGTCGATGAGGGTTCTCTCTTCTTTGTTAGCGCTTTATAATGACGGAGATATGTATTTCCAGATTTTTATTTAAATAGCCAAAATATTCAAAAACAAATAAAATAAAATTGGTCTATTATCTTTGTTATAATCACAGCCAGGGCCGAATTTAAATAAGTGTCGGTCATGGGTGAATAGAGTGAAATGACCCGTACACTTTGTCACAGACTTAAATAAAAATACGTTTAATCAGAGCGTGTTAACACATTAAAGTGAAAATCCGATGGGTTTTAACATTTTTTGCTATAATATGTGTTTTGATTTACAGATAATGAATATATTCTTTTTTTTTTATTTCCAATAATAACTTAGTAATTGATGTTTCTCTGACGTTATTTTCCTGCGCATCCAAAACGGTCAGACTTTCACCGGGTTTCTATGTGACGTCACACAAACCTATTAATTTATTCTATTGACTTGCTGTATAAAATGTAAAATGTACATTCTTGTAAAAGAAATCTTTATCTATGCAGTTAGATCTAGGATCTTGTCCGCAAAGAAAAAAATGCGTGTTAAAAGTAGATTTACATTTTTGACTAACCACGGCAGTCTGTATTTTCTCGCCTGACCATTCAACACAAAACAAACACGTTCGCGTTGGTTGTCTGGTCCTGACCGACGGTCACCAACTACCCGTAGTCTAGACTAGCCTTACACTGACCAGTTTGTTCGAATCAGACACACGATCTATTTACTTTTTGGGACAGGGAGGGGCTTAGATGAAAATGTCCCTTTTTTTCTAGAGTTGGTTATCCAAACCCTTTTATATCTATCTATCTGTATATATAACTGTACCAAAGCTCTGGACTAGGCCGTCACTAAGCCTAACAGCTGGACCCCTCAACTGAAGAAAACATTAAGAAACTGGAACAGACACAAAATAGAGCAGTGAGATTCATAACAAACGAATATTCACATTTTACTAGAGTAACACCTTTAGTAAAATCACTAAATTTAGAAAGCCTTCAGGATAGAAGACTTAAAGGTAAAGTAGCAATTATACATCAAACACTGAACCACAATCTTCAAATACAAAAACAAAATTAAATAAAATACTCAGAAAGACACAAAGATAAAGGCACATTCCTCGTTCCATATGCTAGGACAAATTTGTACAAAAGCTCTCTCTTCCCTAGCGCTATTAAAGAATGGAATGGGTTGCCTGAACTAGCCAGGAAAACCAGTGACTTGGCGGAGTATAGGTCATTGGTTAATTTGCATGACTAAATGCATGACGCGTAGGACGTAATCATCTTTTTTTTTTTGAAGTAACGTCTGTATTATATAAGATAAAATAAGATAACAGCTACTGTAAGAATGAAGCGATACGATTGGTTAAATCTAGCT